GGTTTGCATCATAAAGTCACGGCTTCAACAGTTAAACCTTCATAGGCTGGTAAATTGAACCGTTTCTTGTGACGTCAGATTGCGTCCTGTAACTCTCTGAGCAGTTCTATTGTGCGTGTTGCTTGCTATGCCTAGAAAAACAGCTTGAAGCAGCCAGACTTACTCTCCCGTATGATGAGTCACTGGGAGCTAAGAAAGCTGGGCATTTGTCAAGATCCAGCCTGCAGCTTGTACACAAAGCCGTGAAGAGGACAGCTTTTTTTTTTCTTGATAGCAGTGACTGATGCGAATACGGTAACAAGCTGATACAGTAGGTGGCCTCTGCTGCCTGAGGGGTTTCCATTCACCTTGAACAAATCATCCATGAAGCCATAGACTGGATTTGCCACGCACAGTGCTTATCCAGGGGTTATTCCCATGCTGCAGGACACAGGCCTACGTGCAATGCTGCCTCAGCAGCTTCTTGTTCTGGCACTTCTCTGGGGTTCGGCATGCCCTGGCATGCCCACATGTAACTGGCTAAGGGATGGTAGAAGCTGAGCAGGAGGAGACGTTCCCAGCACGAATATTTGTCGCTTTTCCTCCGGAATCTCTTTCCAGATGAAGCCTCGAGCTGCTGGTGGCAACCTCTTTGTCTGCATTCCCAAGAGCAACTCGCCGCACTAATCCTCCATAAATCACCTGCCCACGTAACTTCCACATGCAGACCTCAAAGCCCGTTACAAAGGGGAGACCCAGGGCTCAGAGGGGTTAAGCGATGGGCCCAAAGCCACGCGGGGAAGAGCTGGAAAGGGATCGGCCGCAGAGCGACTGCTCTCTCTCCTTGCCGACAAACGGTGCTTTGCCAGGGTGATTGCGTTTTGCTCTCCTGCCCATCTCTACTCCTGTCCCAAACTCCTGCTGGCATGGCCTAGTGCAAGGGCATGGATGGTAGGTATGGAAAGCATTGGCTTCCCAAACTGCCTTCCCCATGCTCCGCTGGGGGCCCCCAGACCCGCTCCCCCAGCCTGCTGTTGTGATGCCAGAGGCTGAGGCAGGCAAGTTGGAGACTCTGGCTGTCTAGTGCTGGGGTTGGTGGCTCGGCTATGGGGTGGGGAGGCCTTGCTGGTCAAGGGTGTGGGCGGCTTGGCCCCAGTGCTGTGCCAGCTCTCCAGACCTTCAGAGCGAGGGCAGGCTGCAGCCGTGTCACCCACCAGCTTTCCAGGGCTGGGGGAGGCCATGGCTGTGCTGCATTGGCTCTCCAGTGCTCTGAGGTCAGGGCAGGCTGGGGGTGCTACCCTGGGGCAGATAGGGCCAGGGGCCAGCAGGCTGGGCAGGGGTCACAGTGTATGTGTGTGGAGGGAGCTGGGCCCTGGTGGCCGGGGCTGGGGAAGTTTGCCTCCCCAAGCCATGGGGTCACCCCCATCCAGGTCACAGCCCCATTCCGTGCAGTGCTGATCAGGTCCTGTGACATGCTGAGCACCTTCACCTCCCATCAGAAGCAATTGGGGCTGAGGAGCCTCATCATTCCTCAGCCCTGGGCCCTTAATACCCACTTTCAACCACACCCTCTGTGGTATAGATATAAATATCAGCAGGCCACAACTGAAAGCCGGGCGCCGCCATTTTTAAATGTCCGCTAGCGCGGACTCCGTGCCGCGCCGCTACACGC